TCAGTCAGAGAGAGAGAGAGAGAGAGAGAGAGAGACCCATATATGAATAGTAAAAATGATGATTACGATAGACTCACCTGTATTTACAGCGTAGGGACTAATATCGATGCCATTGGAGCGGTGGTGAAGCCAACTGTTATTCAGCGGCAATACATTGACACAGCAGTTGTGGTGACTGTGTTGTGAGTGCTGTGCCGTTGCGCTCATACCAGCGCTGGTGAGGGGAGTGGGGGTCGAGGGGCTGGTGTGGAGCGCGTGCCACGTGTCGCGCGTACCAGTTGTTGTCGAGAGCACAGGTGCGCCACAATTGCCTGAGCGCTGGTAATTGCCGGCACTAATGTATGGCATCGTATAGACTGGCGATAGTGCAGAGAGTCTATGATATGCGTGAGGAGTAGAGGGAGAGGGAGGGGTTGACGACGACGATCGAGAAGAAGAAGACGATACTGAAGAGTCGTGTTCGCCATATGGCTGTGCCATCGGTGGAGGCAATAGTATTGGGCGCTCAGCGCTGGTAGGCTTCATGAAAGCCACGGGCAATGAGCCATAGAGTGGTGAGCGCTGAACGTGTCGTTCCTTATCGTCCAAAGAGATGAGCGCTAGTGTTGTTGTTGTGGTCGTTGTCTGACTATTACCACATCGGGATTGTTGTGGTATAAGCGGTGGCGGCTTTGGTAGTGATCTGCCACTCACTCCGCTCCTCATCTCAAACTCTCGCCGTTTCTTCGCCTCAATCTCTCTGATGAGCGTCTCATCAATGGATCCGTCGCGAGACGAGCGCTCAGGAGATGATGAAGCGTTGCTTTCGCTGCCCATCGATAGTAAAGTCATATCTGTTTTTGTGAANTCAATGGATCCGTCGCGAGACGAGCGCTCAGGAGATGATGAAGCGTTGCTTTCGCTGCCCATCGATAGTAAAGTCATATCTGTTTTTGTGAAATATGTATAAAAAGAGCAAATGATTAGTGAAATGGAAAACAGAAAGAAGTTCTTGAAAAATGAAAATTATTATTGATTTTCTTGAAACCAATCATTTATGTAAAAAACACAGTTTTGTAAAGAGTATATCAAATGTAATCAAAATAAACAAAAGCAGAAAAAGTTTTACAAAAATTAAAAAGCAGTTTCAGATTTTATGCACACAAATGAATAGCAATCTCTACTCGTATTTGAAATTTATATTAAAAACGTGTATTGTTTTTGAAAAAAGAAACTTTAAAACAGAAGTTTGCGCTTTTCGCCATTAGATCTTTGCGTCTATTTTGCAATAAATATATGAAAAACAATTGATTGAAAGGTTTTGATTATTAATATTACAGTTAAAAATACTGTATATAATAAAAACGGGGAGTTTTTGAAGAAGGTTTCGAGTTCTCACCGAAACATACAAAGAAAAAACGTTACTTATATTTTCAAAATTAGTTATAAGTTTAGTCCGTATTCATCATCTCAAACATATTTAATATGCTATTATAGTAATTAATGAAAATAAGGAATTGAGGCTCAAAATACAGAGTTTTATTATTGAATTATTCCGAAACAATACTTTGATTAATGAAATAATAACTCATAAAAGTTGCTTTTTATATATGATTTGAACAAAAACACAAACATTCAATTGAAAGAAGAAGAAAAGCAGTAATAAATGGGACTATTTATACGAAAGCTAACAGCGATTCTTTGATTTCATGCAATCAGCGATTGGTTGTGTAATTTAGTGAACGATTTATATATGAGTACAAAAATCTCTGGTCTATACATGTCTTAGATTAACATTAACTCAAGTAATTAGATGTTGATTATCGAATTAGTGGGGGATTTGATGGCATTATAGTTATCAGTAAAAAATACAAAATGAATGGCAAAACTATATGGAAATATGAGTTCAGACTGGAAAACATGTTTATATTCCCGAACCTCCTCTGAGGGCTATCACTGCGATTACGGATATATTTACTAATAATATATAATATATATTGTTTCTAAGAATATCATCCGACTGTCCCTATCGTGTTATACAATGTTGAAAATATATTATAATTTATGCATGAAATCTACGTTTAAATTAATAGATCTTTTAATAGATATGTACAGTATATACAGATAGAGAGTATGCATACATAAAAAGTCAGTAATTTGTCATATATTGTCTCCGAGAGTACAAAGAACTTTAACATAAAGCAGTTCATACCTACCCATTGCCCCACTCATTGTGTATACATATGTGCCTTTAAAATCTACCTTTTTTATTGTGTGTGACTTCACTATTCATACGTTTGAGAAGTTAACAGGTGTTACCATTCTCTCTCTCTCTCTCTCTCCACCACTATTACTACCCCACTATCCATACAAACAATACTACGGTCTCTATCAGTCTCTGTAAGCGTTACCAATCTATGCATAGCATGCGTTCGTATAATTATTTTTTTAGCTTCTCTTTTGTTATACGACCAAAAAGTGAATGAAAATCATTATTATTACTGTTTTTCAGATTCACTATTTCTATGAATATTATTTTTGGGATTTTTTATTCATTATTTTCTGTCATCTCCTCTCTCTCTCTCTCTCTCTCTCTCCCCTCATCTTTTTATGATTCAAATCTTGTTTACCAAACTTTTTTATGCATTAAACCTATGGTATGAAATGATTCATAGCATAAATTACCGCTAAATTAGCGAAAGTCCTTGTTTTTGATTGACTTCTCATTTTGAATCTGGATTTATATTATGCAACGTTATATCCGAAAACATTATACAATAGTTTTTTAATTAAATTTCTAGTTCATAGATATTTGAATAATTAGTAGAAAAAGAGTTTAATATTAAAAATTATGAAAACTGCATACATAGGAGATTAGTCACTAATAGACATCAATTGTAGGCATTAGGTACAATTTGAGCGAAATCATGTAGCACATTTT